TGTCACCATTTATCCCCGTTTACCCTCTTCTATCTTCCCTCACCCTCTATTCCTCTGGTAATTACCATGCTGTTGTCTGTGTCTATGCATTCTTTTCCTTTTTTGCTAACTCCTTCATCTTTTTTACCCAGCCCTGAAATTCCCAACCCCTCTGACAGCTGTCAGTCTGTTCTCCATATCTAAGTCTGTTTCTATCTTGTTTGCTAGTTTATTTTGTTCATTAGATTCTATAGGTAAGTGAAGTCATAATACTTGTCTTTCTCTGACTGGCTTATTTTATTTAGTATATTACTCCCCAGGTCTATTCATCCTGTTGCAAAAGGTAAGATTTCCTTCTATTTTAAGACTAAGTAGTAATCCTATGCAGTAGAAAGGAAGAAGGAGCTCCTACACTTTACAACCGCATTGATAAAACTGGAGAGCATTATGCTAAGTGAAGTAAGCCAGGCAATGAAAGACAAATACCAAATGATCTCACCCATAAGTGGGACATAATCAACAAAACAAACAAGCAAGCACAATATAACCAGAGAAAATGAAATAAAGAACAAACTGACAGTAACCAGAGGGGAGGGGGAAGTAGGATAATGGGGGAAAAAGGAGGAAGGGCCATCAAGGAACATATATAAAGGACACATGGACAAAGCCAAAGGAGGTTAGAATCGAGGCTAGTGGGTAGGGATGGGTGGGGCAGGGAGCAATGGTGAGGGTAAAATGGAGACAACTGTACATGAAGAACAATAAAAAATTAAAATAAGACTGAGTAGTATTTCATTGTGTAAATGTACCACAGCTTTTTTATCCATTCATCTACTAATGGGCACTTGGGCTGCTTCCAAATCTTAGCTATTGTAAATAATGCTGTAATTCCTGTACATACATTCTTTCAAATTAGTGTTCAGGTTTCTTGGATATATTCCTAGTAGTGGAATTGCTGGGTCATCAGGCAGTTCTATTTTTAATTTTTTGAGGAAGCAGCATACTGTTTTCTATAGCGGTTACACCAGTCTGCATTCCCATAAACAATGCACGATGGTTCTTTTTTCATCATTGTCAATACTTGTTGTTTGTTCATTTATTTAGCCATTCTGATAGATGTGAACTGATACCTAATTTTGGTTTTAATTCGCATTTCTCTGAATATTAGTGATGTTGAGAATATTTTCATGTCTATTGTCCATGTCTATGTCCTCTTTGGAGAAGTGTCTATTCAGATTCTTTGCCCATTTTTTAATTGGATTGTTTTTTTTTTTGGTGTTCAGTGGTATAAGTTCTTTATCAATTTTGAATATTAACCCCTGATCAGATGTCTCATTGGTGAATATGTTCTCCCATTCAGTGGGTTGTCTTTTCATTTTGTTAATGATTTCCTTTGCTGTGCAAAAAAATTTTTGGTTTGATGTAGTCCCATATTTTTTTTTTTGTTTTTGTTCCCCTTACTCAAGGAGATATATCAGAAAAAATATTGCTACGAGAAATGTCTGAGATCTTACTGCCTATGTTTTCCTCTAGAATTTTTATGGTTTTGAGTTTTACATTTAAATCTTTAATCCATTTTGGGTTTATTCTTTTGTATTGTGTAAGAAGGTGATCTAATTTCATATTTTTGCACATATTTGTTCAATTTTTTCAATACCATTTATTGAATAGGCATTTTTACCCCATTGTATGTTCTTGCCTCCTCTATCAAATATTAATTGACCATAAAGGTGTGGATTTATTTCTGGGCTCTCTATTATGCTCTATTGATCTCTATCTGGTTTTATACCACTACCGTGCTGTTTTGGTTACTATGGTCTCCTAGTATAGTTTGATATCAGGTAACATGATTTCTCCCACTTTGTTCTTATTTCTCATGATTGCTGTGGCTATTCAGGATCTTTGTGGTTCCATACAAATTTTTGGAATACTAGTTATAGTTCTGTGAAATATGTTGTTGATATCTTGATAGGAATTGCACCGAATCTCTAGATTGCTTTTGGTAGTATGGACATTTTAATGATGTTAATTCTTCTGATCCTTGAACACAATATACTCATATGCTTCCACTTATTTGCATCATCTTCAATTTCTTTCTTTAGCATCTTATAATTTTCTGAGCACAGGTCTTTTATATACATAGTTAAATTTATTCCTAGGTATTTTTTATTTGATGCAATTGTAAATGATATTGTTTCCTTAGTTTTCCTTCTGATAGTTCATTATTGGTGTATAGAAATGCAATTGATTAGTGGATATTTGTTTTGTGTCCTGCTACTTTACTGAATTCAGTTATCAGTTCTAATAGTTTTTCGGTGAATTATTTGGGGTTCTCTATATACAGTATCAGTATCATGTCATCTGCAAATAATGACAGCTTTACTGCTTTCTTTCCAGTTTGGGTGCCTTTTATTTATTCTTCTTGTCTTTCCCTGGCATCTCTCCCTGGCAGACAGAATCCCTGTCAATTTTCACAGCCAGATGTTATGTGAGCACCTCTTCCTAGCTCTGGTGCTCCAGGTGGGAGATCCTGGCTTGGGGTTGAGACCCAACTTCTCTGAGAGGGCACCTTTATAGCTGAGATATACCTTTGGAATCTTAGTTGTCACCTGTGGGAGTGGGGCCAGCCCTTTTCTTGTCCCTGCCTTTTGTACCAGTCTCAATGTGGCTTCTTCTGTAAATCCTTCATTGTAAGACTTCTCTTCAGCTTGTCTTCAGTGGCTATTAAGGCTGGTTGCTGTATATATTAGTTGTCATTCCAGTTTGGTTTTGGGAGGAGGTGAGTGTAGCTTCCACCTATTCCACCACCCTCTTGGATCCAAGACCTATTGCATTTAGATTTGTGATCTTCAAGAATTCCATCTGTACCATTCACTGGAGACAGTGTCACTGATGATGATTCCAAGTGATCTATTCTTATTATTTATTTACCTGCTTAATAAAAGCAAATTAAACTGAAAGAACAATGTAACTTGATTTGGAGAATTCAGTTAGTCATTGTAGTTCTTAGAGTGGTTTGTGTGGAACAAAACTGGTCCACATTTTGTATAGAGGCAGTTAATTGTTAATTGTAAAGAAACTACAACCAAAGGACCTTCTTACCAGATGAGTGCTAGCAATAAATACCATAATAACATTGCCCATTATTTTAAATCAATTACTTTTTGCCTTTATACAAACCCAGGTTAATAATGTTAATTAACTTAATGAGTCGACCTTGTATGATTTTCTAGATGCCCTGATTGTTTGAAGAACAGCCCTCATCAGCATGTTACATAACTTGGGGGACCAATTGTGTAGCTTCATTTAGCAGCTATTGTCATGGCCACTTAAGTGTCAAGGCTCTTGATATCCATCTGTCACCATAACCTTACATTTAAAAATACTACTAATAGTTGCCCTCTTAGCACAGCAGGCAGTGTGACAGTCTCATAAAAACATGACTACTTTCTTTGGCTGCCATCCTAACCTAATTAGGGACTAACACAGACTTGTACATTTCTTGTAAACATATCAGCTGACCATGGGATCTGGCCAGGGCTAGGGCATGATTTGAGCTCGATTGAAGGATTTATCTATTTCTTCCTTCCAGTGATGCACTTAGGGGTCTGGATTGTATTCAGCAGAGCTACTTCCCCTTTTATTTTCCAGTTTAAACATTTTAAATTGATTTACTCTCTTGCTCTCCTTCTTTTGCTCTTAATTCTACCTGGGGTTGTTTTCTCCCTACTACTACTTAGTTTTGCTCCCTCCCCCATTTTTATTGTTATAAATTTATAATTTCAGCATTTACAGCCTTACAGTCTTTAGACAGTAAGAAACAAGATTTTTAAAAAAGTTTTATTTCAAAAATTTTTAGCCATACAGAAAAGTTGCAAAATAAGGCAGAGCATTCACATATTAACAGTTTACATAGTATAATTATCAAATTAACATAGGTACAATACTATTTTATAGATACAACCTTTTACAAATGTCACCAGTGTTCCCCTAATGTTCTTTTTCCATTCCAAGATTCAGTGTAGATCCTTCCTTGCATTTAGCTGTTGAGTTTCACTGGTTCCCTCCAGTCTGTGACAGTTCCCTCATCTGTCCAGAAGACGCATCAGATCCTCATTGGATGAAATTTATACTATGGTTTTTGCACTTCTGTTTCACATACCTATCAAGTAAAAGCATCTCATCTGAGAGGTTTCACTGAATGCTCTGGAAAGTCGTTATAGCTGCTTGGCTGGCTGGTATTCCCTGTAGAAACCAGGTTCTGCTGCCTCCCCAGGGTTGTGCTTCTCCAGGGTAGTTCTGAGTGGTGGCTACTGAGGAACAAGATTCAATGATGACAAGAGGTGATCTTTAATTTTTCAGTGAATAGCGTGTTACAAGTGTGATTTTTTTTACAAGTGTGATTTTTTAAAAACTTCTTTTGAGAGAGGAGCTGCTTCATTTCCTGCATGGCTCTAGTGGTAACCCGCTATCAGATGAACACATGTACAATACCAGTCTTGGTGAACTGTGGTGAAATGGGTACTTACAACTGGTCAGAGGCATGCAGTTCTACCTCAGAGATGAATTGTTGGACCCTTTTAGATTTTGCAGATCATCAGTGATAAGGATATAATCACCCCTTTGAGCTGTAAAAAATAACAATACTATTAATAGCTAATTATTGGTGTCTACTATGTGTCAGGTTCTGTGTGAAGTACTTGATCTATTCTTCATATAATTTTTACAACAACCTTGTGAAGATGGAAATAATTTTCATCACCATTTTGAGGTGGAACTGAATCTTGAGGAAGTCAAGGAGCTTTCCTACAAGATGTTGGGGACCACCCTGCCTGGTCTCAGGAAGCTGTAACCCCCCTGTAACTTAGGCTGAGTGAAAGACCTCTGGACCAGGAGCCACTGAGGAGACAAATCTTATTTCCCTGGCATGAATGCTGCCTGTTCTAATGCCTGTCTTCCCTTTTGCATGATCAGCAGTCAATGATGGGTAACAATTCTCTAAGAAAGAGAATGGAGATGGATCTAAGATGGCGACTGTGGAACCGGAAACCACCCCTACTCCTAATCCCCCGCCTACAGAAGAAGAGAAAACAGAATCTAACCAGGAGGTTGCTAATCCAGAACACTATATTAAACATCCTTTACAGAACAGATGGGCACTCTGGTTTTTTAAAAATGATAAAAGCAAAACTTGGCAAGCAAACCTTCAGCTGATCTCTGAGTTTGATACTGTTGAAGACTTTTGGGATCTGTACAACCATATCCAGTTGTCTAGTAATTTAATGCCTGGCTGTGACTACTCACTTTTTAAGGATGGTATTAAGCCTATGTGGGAAGATGAGAAAAACAAACGAGGAGGACGATGGCTCATTACGTTAAGCAAACAGCAGAGACGAAGTGACCTCGATCGCTTTTGGCTAGAGACACTGCTGTGCCTTATTGGAGAATCTTTTGATGACTACAGTGATGATGTATGTGGAGCTGTTGTTAATGTTAGAGCTAAAGGTGATAAGATAGCAATATGGACTACTGAATGTGAAAACAGAGATGCTGTTACATATATAGGGAGGGTATACAAGGAAAGGTTAGGACTTCCTCCAAAGATGACGATTGGTTATCAGTCTCATGCAGACACAGCTACTAAGAGTGGCTCCACCACTAAAAATAGGTTTGTTGTTTAAGAAGACACCTTCTGAGTATTCTCATAGGAGACTGCGTCAAGCAATCGAGATTTGGGAGTTGAACCAAAGCCTCTTCAAAAGCAGAGTGGACTGCATTTAAATTTGATTTCCATCTAAACATTGCAAAGATATGAGAAGTCTCATTCGCCTTTGTCTTGTACTTCTGTGTTCATTTTTTTTTAACTTTGGCTAGAATATTCACTTACCCAATCAAAGAATTAACAGTACACATTGTCCCCAGAATCCAAAAATGTCTTTCTGGCCTACTGTGTAATAGCTTAGGAAAATTATCATTACAAACACTTTACCCATCCACAAAGTTCAAAAAGACCTTAACATTTCTCTATACCTTACAGGAAAAGAATTCTGTTTATGTTCCATTGTATGCAGGAGCATATTTTGCTGGTTTGAAAGAGTATGATGCATACAGTTTTCTAGCAATTTTGTTTCTCTCTTTTTTTTTCTTTTTTTTTTTTTTACAGCATTGTCTTTGCTGTACTCTTGCTGATGGCTGCTAGATTTTAATTTATTTGGTTCCCTACTTGATAACATTAGTGATTCTGATTTCACTTTTTCATTTGTTTGCTTTGTTTTTTTCCTCATGTAACATTGGTAAAGGATCCAGGAATATGACACAAAGGTGGAATAAACATTAATTTTGGGCATTCTTTGGTAATTTTTTTGTTTTTTTTTATAACTACAAAGCTTTGCTACAAATTTATGCATTTCATTCAAATCAGTGATCTATGTTTGTGTGATTTTCTAAACATAATTGTGGATTATAAAAATGTAACATCATAATTACATTCCTAATTAGAATTAGTACGTCTGTTTTTGTATCTCTTTGCTGTATTTTTAACACTTTGTATTACTTAGGTTATTTTGCTTTGGTTAAAAAAAATGGCTTAAATAGAAAAGCAATCCCATTCACATTAAGACAGTGTACAAAACTGTAAATAAAATGTGTACAGTGAATTGTCTTTTAGAAAAAAAAAAAAGAAAGAGAATGAATCTAAGACAGACGCGATCATGTGGGAATGCCTAGGGAAGAAATTCACGGGGCTGTGGAAACGAAGGGGTGATCAGACATCAACCCCTGCCTCCTCGGCTTTGTCAAAGCCTGAGTCTTTGTTCTTACATGTGAGAAATCCAAGCCTCCCAGCTGCCTCTGTCTTCTGCCTGCAGGGGTGGTGCAGGCCAGACCAGAAACGATGGACCCCCAGGGTGATCAGGCCTGGGACATAGAACATGCAAGATCCTGTGAGATCTGTTTGCTGGAGGATGTTAACTTGGAATTTAAAGGCACAGACAGGAAACCAAAACTGCCCTTTGAGCCCTGTTAGATAAAACCTCAATCTTTGCCCAGAAACACAGTGGGGGTTCTGTCTGCACCTTTGTAAGTCACCTACTTCTTTTGATCTTTTCTGCCAGACTGTGAATCCACAAACTAAGTCTGTATTCTCAATAAAAATCTTCTTGGGAAGGAAGATGGAGGGCCCTCCAGGAGAGAGGGTAGCCAAAGGTACTCCCCACGAGAAAGAGTGGCCCTTCTGTCCCTATTCCCCCACAGGACCTGGTTGTCTCTGTGTATGTCTTTCTTGTGTTTCGACAAACATCCGCAGCCAAGATGGATACTGCAGGCTGGTATCCTCCACAACAATTATGCAGCTAGTAAGTCTGAGTCCAAAACCTGTATTATCAGCCAGCACATGTCACTGTATTCCCACTAATTTAAATGTAATTATTTTATGACTTCTTTAGAGAAAACATATGAAAAATTGTACTAAATAAGATAGAGGTGAACAAAAGTTGTTCCAGGTAGCTGTCTACCTAAGCTAAGAAGAATCTTGGTGGGTACTGGTATTTTCTGTGCCTCATCTTACTCTCTGGGTATATGAACAGGTTTTAGCTCATGATGAGGGGCTAATATAACTTTTCTCTGATTTGTAAACCTTATTTTTTTCTAACTGTTCTACCAACTTTGAAAACAGAAAATTCTGCTCAGCCCAGAAATGAGCAAAACATGCAAATAACACCTTTCCCTGTGGCCCTCAGTCTTGAAGTGAGTTTTCAGCTAATGGGGAATGATAAGTAATGGAGCAAGAATAAGAACACAGTTATTGAATTCAAGTGGTGAACTAGATGGTGTTTCTGTTGGCCAAAAGATCCTCCAGGGTTTGGCTTTTAAGGTTAAAATGTTTTACAGCTGAATAGTTGTTTAGAGACTTGATGTGAAAGCAATAAATGTAGACGTGAAACCAGAGTTTTGTTTTTGTTGTGGTATTTACCGGGTGAGACCATTCTAGGAATGGTAACCAGGGGTCTAATCCTGGGTGCTGCCTGTGGGGCTTGGGAATGCCTTTGGGCACAAGGAACAAAGGAAGCAGCAGGAGAATCAGAAAAGGATAAAGAGAACAGAACAGGGAAAGGGAGAAGGGAAAGAGAAAGGGGGACCTGGGAGTGGGCAAGACTGATGGGGTGAAAAGAGACCAATAGAAGAAAGTTGTCTTCATGGTGGGAATAACTAACTTGTTTCAAGCTCATGCCAATGTGAAGTTTGATTTCTCTAAACACTGGTGTGGTAGAACTTATTTGATTCTTGAACAATATCAATGGTGGAATAATGAACCCTTCAAGGAGCAATTCTTTTTCTGTACCACTTTCTCTTTCGTTAAACAAAAAGGTACCATATGTTAGAGTTGTCTGTTATTTGCTTTTTCACAGTTCATTGTATATGTATTAAAGATCTTCTATATCAGAACACTGAAGTCCTCCTAAGTCTTTTTATAAGTGACAGAATATTCTTTTGGTGCTGTAGGCTGGCATATATAATTGATCCCCTGTGTTATGTTTAGTCTTTATCTATTTCAGATAATGCTGCAATTACCAATATTGTACATGCTATGTTGTACACAACTATGTTTATCTACTGGACAAATTTTCAGACTTAGGATTACTAAATTGACAAGTGAATGCCAAACTGACTTCCATTGAGTCCTACCATTTTTAGACTTCCAAGGACAGTGTATATCTAATCTTTATCCCACTGCACTAATACTCATGACAATTAATATTTAATGAGTGCTTACTATTCACCTTATTTTAAGAGCTTTAAATGCGTTATTTATTTAATCTACCCTATGAGCTAGGTGTTAGTATCTCTACTACACACATAAAGAAAATGAGACACCAAAACAAGTAACTTGAGCACTATCACAGTTATTTCCAGTGGCAGGGCCAGATTCGAACGCTGGTGGCCTGGTTTCAGAATTCGTTCTTACTGTCACATCTGCTACTCCACCAAAAGTGGGCAAGTGACCAATGGCCTTCTGAATTCTAAATCCAACAATCCTCAGTTCTCATTCGCTTCTTTTTCAACCTTGTGGTTTCATTCAGTGCAAGTGATGACATTCTTTGAAGAGCTATTCCTAAATTACCCTTCATTATGGCTATTTTAGGTCTTTAATACTAGCAAGAGACAAAAGAAAACATGTGTCATTTCCAAAATTATTTAGGGAGAAAAATGCCATGTAGTATATCAGTTTAGACTTGGTGAAAAAGCCACTGAATAAAAGAATAATGTGTTAACAAGAGGTCTTAAAATGCCCTGTTATTTAATAATAATGCCAGAAATTTGTAAAAGTCTCTACTAAAGCTAAGGATTTAAAAATTTGGAAATATATTATTTTTATGATTTATTTAATTGGAGGAAATTTTCTATCACATTTTAAAATATTTATACCTTGTTCATATAATTATTTAAGCAGTGTTTATTTGTAAGAATAAAATTTTGACATTACACATCAACTTTTTGACCTGGCCTTAAAAAATTCAAGGTAATCAATAAGATAATCAGTTACACTATATTGAATCTTGACTTAATCTTAACAGATAAAAGAGAATATGTGAATAAATATAGACTATATTAATTTTTTAAATTCCATGATTAGGTAGGAGAGAGAGGAAAGGATAAAATCTAGTCATTAAGGAAATAATATATTATCTAATAATTAAAAATTGATCGTAGTTTCAAACTCTTGTTTGAATTCGTCTTGGAAGTGTATAATACTCATTAGTTAGTTGCTGAGAGTGTCTGATCTTTCAGGTCTGCCCCTTCCCCTCCACTCCTCTCCACTTTGGGGGCTGGAAGCCTACAAACTACTTCAGATTCCCTAGTTTGTTTTCTTCCAGTTAAGTTCTACTAATGGGAGACATTGGCAGGTGATCATGAATTGGGAGGACGGCATTTTTTAATTTCTCCTGACTTCTGGCAGATGTCTCTGGCAGTGTGAGATAACATATATGCATATATGTGTATATGCGTGCGCACACACACACACACACACACACACACACACACACACACCTGCCCCTGGTTCCTGGCACAGAACTGCTCAAACCCTTGTAAATCTGTCAGTGATGAGAGCACCAGGAGCATCTCTTATTCTAATGAGGCAACTCTGGGTGGGCTCCTGGATCAGGGTTGGTCACCAGAAACACCAGGCCATATTAGAATTTACATATTAAAATTGGAATTTTAAGCCCCAAACCCCTTTTCTAGAGAGAGGAGAAGAAATAGAATGGATACTTGATTATGCCTATGTGAAGAAGCTTCCAGATAATCCTAATAGTAAGGAATTTGGAAAACTTTCAGATTGACAAACAGATGTATCCTAAAAGGGTGACACACACCAGCTCCACAGGCACAGAAGCTCTTGTGCTCTCGACCCTTCTAGTCCTCATCCTATCTAGCTCTTTATCTGGTTGTTCATCTATATCTTTTAATAAACTGGCAAATGTAAGTGTTTCCCTGAGTTATGTGAGCCACTCTAGCATATTAATCAAACTGGAGGAGGGAATTTGGGGAACCTCACATGTACAGCTGACAGGTGAGCAGCACAGGTGACAACCTGAGTTTGTGACTGGCATCTGAAGTGGTGGGAACAATCTTTGGGACTGAGCCCTTAACCTGTGGCATCTGATGCTACCTCCAGGTAGATAGTGTTAGAATTTGGTCATTTGTAGGACACCCAGCCAGTGTCGTGGAGAATTGCTTGGTGGGAGAAACCGCCCCCCGCCCCCACACACACATTTAGTGATCAGAAGTGTCAGCAGTGCAGTGTTCTGTATGAAAATAGAAGAGAAAGACTGAGTTTTCCTCCTTCAGGCTGTAGAGGCCACTGAGCTCTGGATTCTTGCACCACCAACGTGGCAGCAGCAGTGGGTGTTTCAGCAGGCCCTGGCACAAGAGGTGCACAGCAGCATCAGAAATAGGGGGTTCTCAGCAGCTTCTGCAGCCCGCATTGTGAGTTCTGGGTGGAATCACTTCCCCCCTCACTCCTCTGATCTTAGGCATAACAGTGACTCCCTGTTAACTGTTATGACTCACAGTTACTGATCTTTGGGTGAGCTTATCTCTTTGGACACTTACAGCTCTTCTACAGTCTTTGTAACTAGTTTCCTGCATTAAATTCTCTCTGTTTGAAATGCCCAGAGTGGTTTCTGTTGTGCTGACCGTACACTGACAGATATTGTTTATGGAAGTTTTTCTCTGGTCTATAAACTGGAGCTTATTTTCGTTAAGATGGTAGTACCCAGACAAGATGCTATCACACTGAATGGCAATGCAGATAGGTAGGGTATAACTAACAAGCCAAAGCAAGTGACTCTAAACTAAGGTAAAAAGAATCACAGTCTTCTCAAGCTATTCCTGTAT